ATTAGTTTACGTTCAAAAGGGGAAAAAAAAAAAAAACCCTTATATGATCATTTAAGAAATGTTACATCTATTTCGGCCTAAATCAAGCCAGAAAGAAAGCAAAGGCTGCATGGATTTACAAGTTATACAGGTGGGAACGACTGACAAGTTAACCTAACAAGACTCAACTCTCCAAGTAAATACCAACAATAGTTAAAAAGAGGCAAGGAGTCACAGAAAGCAACTCAGAGACCGCTTCCTTGAGTCGATAAGAATGAGTGTATATTTTCAGACTAAGAGTAAGACACTTGAAGAGCCATCCACTTAATTCAAAGACATGAGAAAAGTGACGAGCTTTCTGCTATATTCGCTCAAAAGGCTCATGAGAATCTAAACCTATAGGGCCTATAATCCTGAAATACATAAAGAAACCATGTTACTACACTTGAATGTATCTGAGTAAAGTACACTAAATTATACATGAAATACACTAGGATACTATTTTTTCTTTGTAAACAGTAACTAAATTTTCATTTACAATTAACTGAAGGAACTTCATTACTAAATCAATAAAAAATGCAATCGAGTGCTGACATGTAAACCAGGTATTTTTCTTCTCCTTCAACAAAAATGTTAAGTCCAAACTGCCAACATACAAAAGAATTTACACATTATTTTGATAGAAGCTTCTCCCCCCAAAAAACATCTGCTAATATCAAATGCTAAGCAATGAACTTATAATCATTTCAAATATTACTAAGAAGAGCAAATGTGTTAATATTTAAAAGTCCAAAAGTTTTTAAATTCTTCATATGAGGACCATGATCCCCTTCTGGTGCTGCCTCTATTTTAGACATTCTGAAGCCCCAAGAATATACACCAAATTCTCTCTATCCATTAGTAAACAAGATACAGAACTCTTACAAGAACATTATATTCTGGGAATCTACAAATGCATATTAGCAAGATGGATTAAATTACTAAACTAATCATACCATTTGCCCGGAAGACAGGCATTATCTAAGCAAACCTCTCTTTAAGTCATAACACATATAGAAAACATTTCGATATGAAGTCAGTGAAGAAGTGTCTTGTGATTATCAGCAAGAAATGGGCAGATGTACGAAAAAGAAATACATTAATGAGAACCTCAAGAGTAACTCTTAAACCAGTTTCTTCATTAAAACTCGAAAAAGAGACACACTGAAGAATACAACTACCAATATGAAGACCTATGGAACATAATTATTACTGGTTGACAAGACAAAGTTACGAAAGTCACCTAGAAACAATTCCTTGACCAACAGCGACATATTATGGGAATAAAATGTACATCCCTCGACCTATACGTATTGATTAATGACATTGTGAAGCTGGATGCTTCTTTAAAAGATTAACTTAAGAATAAAAGAAATAAATGTAAAACATGTATAATCACTGTCTTCAAAAAGTCAGAAGTTTTTTTTTTAAAGTAAACACATTCTGTATTAAAATTCTATGAACAACACTGCTTAGATTCTGTAATCTCAATAACAAAAAAGAGTTACCCCAAAGTATCTTAAAGACACATTAAGGGACAGGTACGGTGACTCACACCTATAATCCCAGCACTTTGGGAGGCCAAGGCAGATGGATTGCTTGAGCCCAGGAGTTCCAGACCAGCCTGGAAAACATGGCATGACCCCGTCTCTACAAAAAAAAAATTAGCCCGATGTGTGTGGTGGCTCACACTTGTAATCCCAGCACTTTGGGAGGTCAAGGTGGGTGGATCACCTGAGGTCAGGAGTTTGAGACCAGCCTGACCACTATGATGAAACCCCTTCTCTACTAAAAATACAAAAACTAGCCTGGCATGGTGGCATATGCCTGTAATCCCACCTACTCAGGAGGCTGAGGCAAGAGAATCGCTTGAACCCAGGAGGCAGAGGTTGCGGTGAGCCAAGATTGCACCACTGCACTCCAGCCTGGGCAATAAGAGCGAAACTCCATCTCATAGGTAGGTAGGTAGGTAGGTAGATAGATAGATAGATAGACAGATAGATAGATAGATAGATAGAAAGAAAGAAAGAAAGAAAGAAATTAGTCCAATGTGGTGGTATGTGACTGTAGTACTAGCTACTCAGGAGGCTGAGGTAAGAGGATCGCCTGAGCCCAGAAGGTCAAGTGAGCTGTGATTGTACCACTGCACTCCAGCCTAGGCAACAGAGAGAGACCCTGTCACAAAAACAAAACAAAACCACACATAGTAAGAAAACCACATACTAGAGATGTGGTCTTTGGGTTCAAATGCAGAGCTCCCTGACCTGAAGTCAGCATCTAAAGCACTCACTTCAGTAAACTTTTGTCAGACATTCTTTACTAAAATAACCTGGAGAAAATCAGTCATTTTCAAACTGAGTATATCCACTTCTACAACTACAAAAATGGTAGTGTAAGTTTAAGACCTGACAAAAGAACTAATGATTGTCATTGATTTGTCATGCTGCAGAGGACTTAAATTGAGGACACCAGCATTTACATATAATTAGCTTATAAAAGCAAGCAGTTAATTAAAACAATGCTATAATGGCACTTCAAATGTTGAATGCTATAGACTTAACGTGTTTGAATCAACACTGCAGTCTGAAATTCTGCCAAGCCTACCACTAGGAAAGTCTTTGCCAAACAAGACTCACTTTTATTTTCTCCTCCTGCCTGACCTACTTCAGACTAGAATCTTTCAAATATATAAAAGAAATAATATGTAGATGGAAATGCTTAAACCAAAGAAAAATAAACAGGGATATATTCTCATCTGAAAAGTCAGGAGGTTGGACCATGAGACCACTACGCTCCTTTTTAGCCCTAAAGCTTTATGATTTATTGTGATAACACCAAGAAGTTTACCACAAACAATATAAACTTTGGCTTCTAAAAGTCAGTGATGATGGTTTGAAAAGGGGGAAAGGGGAAATAATAGATGGATCATCTGAAGCAGGATCAGCTACCAATACCAGCGACAAAAAAAAAAAAAAAAAAAAAACGAATGACCTTAATCAGGTCAGAGTTCTATGCAACAAAAACTGAATTCCTAAGGCTGGGGATTATTTTCCTCCTTTTCCCCCATATTCTGTGAAAATGTTTATTCTCAATCCGTGTGTGTGGTACTGTGGAAGTACTAAGTTTAGACAACAATTTTGTTTTATTAAAATGCTGATTTCTTCTCACAATTTTTCACATAAACTCACGAAAATTAGGTATCTTTATATTCAGTGACTTGTCGCCATTTGACAAAATTAAAAGAAAATTTCAATTAGTAATATCCACTTGAACAAACAATACTCTTAAATTTAATGCCAAATATTATACTATGAGCAATTCAAGTTGTATGTAAATAATGTACTTCACTAATACTTCATGTGTCTGAGCAAAGTGTGCTCTTCTGGGCCCACATCAGATCATTAGAGCAGGCAAACTGACTAAATGCTTCTAAGGCTCAGTTTCCTTGCCTGGATTTGGAAAAAAAAAAAAAAAAGCATATTACTCCTTATCATGAAGATTAAATGAGATAATGTGTACAAAGTACCTAGCACAGTAACATATCATTACTGCTGCTGACTTTTATTATAAACCTAAGTTAGGCTTTTGGTAGCATTCTGAGATTCATTATGGGTGGCAAAAATAAGTTTTCCATGTGAATCTATCTAATTTCTCCAAATTTCTAAGATTTATTCCTCCAGAGAAAATGAGGTTTTTCCTTCACGTCAACATTTCTAAAAGGTCACCAGATAAAAACTTTCAAAACAATTACTTAAAAGCCCCATCCTTATTCCCTTTAAGAACGTTTTGATGGGCATCAAAAAGAATCCCTTTCCCCCATGCCACTGACCTCTAACATCTAGGCTCTGGCCTGTACCAGATGTTGAGGAAAGTGTCAGTGTATAATAAATATTTATACAATTACAAGTCAGAGCTTTACAGAGGTGTCACCTAACAAATGCATAAATGGCTAAGAATCATTCCAAGTGTCACCATCAAGACCACAAGAATATCACTGAAATCATCATTAGGATTATGTCTGCTGCTGCTGGGATATCACTGGCAAGTATTTGAAGCACGTATGTCACACAATCTCCAGAAGGCCTCATACAACAGCAAATTGTTGCTTGTTAAATAATGTTACATTAAAAATGGCTACTCATTGAAAAATTATCTTAAATTCCATTGTTTAGGTGCTTCTCATATTTAGACATTCAGATAAACAATCTACTACATAGTGTAATTTTAATTCCAAATTACTCTTTCCCCTTTTGCTTCAACTCCCCTTTAAATATCCTATGCCATGTCTTTCTATACAACGCAGGCACTTAAAAACAGAAATGCCTAAGCTATTTAGGCTTTTGCCATTTTCTTCTCATCTTGCTGCAATCATGTTTTAACGGGATATTTAATTATAGATTCTACCATAGATTTACTGCCTTTCTTTGAAAATAGGAAACTCTTGGAGTAATTAAGAGCTACCTCATTCAGAAAGTACAATAGAAAAAGAAATTCCAATCTCTCAACACGAAATTTAAAAATTCTTATAGAGAGGCTTAGCCTTTGAACAAAATATATAATAAAAAGCTTTCCTGTTCATGAATATGAAAACATTTCTTACCACATGGCTAATTCAAATTGGGGTTACAACAGTGAGTCAGAAAACCTTGCTCTAAATAGTGATCTGATGAGGATATTCAAGAGTATTTGATTTAAAAGTTTTTTTTAATCAACATTCTTATAAAATCTAGGCATCTACCTAGTTCAAAGTATATTCCAAACACTTAGAATTCTGTTATAGGAATAGCTAATAGTGTGATCTACAGCAGCCATTAACAGTTGCACATTAAAAAGAAATAGCAATAAAAAGATGGACACCCTGAGGTCAATGATTTCCTCCCAATAACCACACAAATGTTCCAAAAGCAAAAACCAAAAGGTGATGATAATTACTACAACATGTTATGTTAACCAACCTCCCTAGTCCCGCGCAATGAGCTCACAGAAGTCAGGATGTGCACAGGCTGTATCCTTCGCTGTTTCCATTCTTGGTTTAAGATTTCCGTTCTTTCCAAAATTTTCTGACGATTGGAACTAAACATACTCTTTAAAAAAAATGAAGGAGAGGAGAGGAGAAATTGTTCATCGTTAGAAAATGTGTAACACCTCTAAAGCTGGTTAAAAATCTAGTGTATTCTCAAAAATATCAAGAACATTTTCTTAGGTGCATATAGATTTTACACTATAGGTTCCCACATTCAAATAATACAAAAACACCACATCTATTATTTTATTGCAAGTGGTTAGAGAACAGGAAACTATTGCAATGCTTTGTTGACTTTGTGTGTGTATTTTTTTTTTAAATCACAATGACTTTAAAGACATAAAATCATGAAATGCATCCCTTTATACTTAGGTCCTGAGTCTGCGCATGCAAATAAAAGTATACTAAACAAACAGTGATTAATGTGCATGGCATAATGTTAAGACAGATCAAGAACCTAAGCTTCCAAGTATTCACTTATCTTACTGTAAATACAAACTTAGCTAGAAATATATTATTTTAAATAAAAACTTATTGAACTTAGGAGAGGAAAAAAACCTATCCTTAATTGTATATTCATTTTTCACAAAAGATAAAATTATACCTTTACTTCATCAGCTCGTCTGAACCTCTTGAGCTGTCTCAGTCGCATGTACTCTGATTTTACACGCTTCCGCCAACAAACTGGTCCCTTCTCAGATTTCTTCCCAGTCTGGCCCATGATTATTCTAAAAGCAATGGTTTCATATTAAAATCACTAATCTAACCAGCCTGAATATGATCACCTGTGTTTTAATCGGCAGCAAACTAACAATCAGTGAAGAAATGACACATATTACACTGTTGGTATTTGCAGAAAGGTGCTCATTTGTGCTGCATGGTTAAATCCTTAAAACATTTCATTGAAAGTTTAAGTTTTTATTTAATACAACTTTTAAAATATACTTGTATTTACAAAAATTCTACACTAAATTGTAGCCATATTATAGGAACATGATCCCATTACAGGAATTAGGTATATTATATCACAACCTAGTTTTTAACTCTATCAGATCCACATTTGTGGAGGGAAGAAAATATAAAGACATATCCTAAGTTTTTCATCATTAAATTAGCTGTTACAGGAGCAAGGCATAATGGAATATAACTGAAAAAGGTAAATCCAAGAAAAAGTAAAATTTACAAACAGTACTAAAAGTAGAAACCATATAGTCCACCATATAACAAATGTACAAAGGTACTCTCTCCCCACACACGGAACCATGCACCTCTCCTTAAACACTGTGATAAAGTCTGTATTTTTGCCTCTTGTGCCACCTTTATTAACACGAGGGGTTTCTGCTATCAAGCAAAAAGAGGAATGCAGGAAATGCAAAGTAAATTATTCTGCCTTATCTTTAGTTGCAGGCTCTAAGAACCAATTATGTTCAAATGCAGGGACAGCTTATAGTTCACCCGATGTCTAATTCATACTGCAGAGTCCTCACCTTAAGTCTAAACAAGCATCTTTTTCTAGAACATTTTCTCCTAAAGTATTAAAATCATACTGTACCTTCAAATTATTAGCAGGACATTCTCTGTCAGGCTGTGCAACACTTTACAGGCCACACTAACAATTTGTGCTTTATCTTAAGAACAATGGAAGCCACTTTTAGTGTCTTAAGTAAAAGGGTGTGGGGTGAGGGAGTAAAAGAATAACTGCAACCAGGTTAGATGCTGCAGCACAGCATCCCGACAAGGGGTGACAGAGGCTTCTACACCGCACTGGCGATGACAGGGAAAAGTACATGAATTCAAGAGTTGGTTAGACCAGAACTTCCACCAAATGATGATTTAAATATGGAAAGTGAAGAAGAAGGTGACTTTCTGGCTTGAACAAATAAATGAGTAGGGGAGGCTTCATCTATTTGTTTACATAAAAACCTCATGCACAGAGAAAACTGCCTAAGAAGAAGATTTAGAATAAGAGTCCTGAGGTCAGTGGGTAACTTTCTACAGAAATACTCAATCACCAACAGGTGACAGAGAAAGCAGATGGCTGTTTACTCAGAGCTGTAACAAAGGGGCAAAGAAACTCATTTTCTCAAGCGTGTAATAAATAATTATGACCCAAGCAGTTTATACAAACTTGAATAAAATGAATATACAAATATTATTAAGTACTCGCCCCAATGGAGCTGATATTCTACCTAAGATAGAGGGGAAAATATAGTATGAAATAGACAGACGTACTTTAGTATCCCTGGGAAATTGGTTCCAGGACACCCCTCAGAAACCAAAATCCACAGATGCTCAAAAGTCCCTGATATAAAGTGGTGTAATATTTGCATATCACCTATGCATAGCCTCCCATATACTTTTTTTTTTTACTTGGCTTCCTGGGATATGAGAGACTCCAATATACTTTAAATCACCTCTAGATTACTTATAATCCCTAATACAATGTAAATGCTATGTAAATAATTGTTATACTGTATTGTTTAGAAAAGAACGACAAGGAAAACAGTACAGACATGTTCAGTACAGATGCAACCATGCTTTACTTTTATCTGAATATTTTTTATCTGCAGTTGGTTGAATCCATGAATTCAGGATCCATGGATTTGGAACTCACAGATGTGGAAGGCTGACTGTTCACACAAAAGCACTTTGGGGGAAAGAAAAGAATATTAGGAACTGCAGAAGGATGGCAGGAAAGGTAACAAGTGAACTCAATCTTAAAAGTTGAGCTGGATTTCAAAAGGCAAAGAAAGAACCTAAAGGAATCTTAGGTCTGAGCAAGAGAAAGCCGGACAGGGGGCAACTAAAGTCTGGCTGGCAGACATTTAACAAGGATGGACCTGGAGAGTAAAAGTCACAAATTAAAAGGACTGAGGACCTGAAGGGAATGAAGAGATAAGAATGGGCAGGAACGTGAGTATGCTTGACATAAAGAAGGCTGATGAAACCACCAAGATAGAACTATTCCAAGTGAAAAGTTTCCAAGTGTGGCCTTACCTGCGAGGTGCTAAAGTGGAGTAAAGCTGAGAGTCACTCAGATTGAGAAGACTAAACTCAAGATGACCCCACCTTTGAGGTAAAGCAGAAAATGGTGTTAGGAAGGCAGTAAGGTGGGACCAAAGGACATCAAAGATGGGAAGAAACTGGAGCATTATTTTTTTTAAATAATTTCATAAAAATAGTTTTCTTCCTATCTGCTAGTTAACATGTGAACTTAATTAATTCTCTGCAAATTACTTAAGACCACTTAGCACTTCAAAGGCCTAGAAACTAGAAAGAAAAAGGAATCAGATAAAAAGGAATGATCTGTAGCCTCATTCGCTCATAAGCTAATCACCTCTAGTCCATCTATTGCCTAGACAAATTTCTCCTTGGAGGTATCACCCCTGTGCAATAAGGCCTAGGGTAGTAAACGTGTTTAGTTTTCACTGATGTATAATGTGGGTGTTATTACTTTTTTTTTTTTTTTTGAGACCAGGTTGGAGTGCAGTGGTGCAATCTCCGCTCACTGCAAGCTCTGCCTCCCAGGTTCATGCCATTCTCCTGTCTCGGCCTCCCAAGTAGGTGGGACTACCAGCGCCTGCCACCATGCCCGGCTAATTTTTTGTACTCTCAGTAGAGAGGGGTTTCACCGTGTTGGCCAGGATGGTCTCGATCTCCTGACCTCATGATCTGCCCGCCTCAGCCTCCCAAAGAGCTGGGAGTACAGGCGTGAGCCACTGCGCCCAGTATATAACTTATTTTTTAAGGTGTATATTTTATGTCTTGGTGAAGACATTAGATAGCATTTTGTTTTAGTACTAGAACTGTCCTTGTCTAATATTCTGGAAGACTTCCCATGCTGTTTCTAGCATTAATAACATACCGAATAAAGTATATCATGACAAATCTACAGTGTCCAGATAGTTCTTTGAAAGTGTAGGACTAAATAGGTAGATCTCTGAAAAAAAATTAAAATTTAAGGTACCAATTAAAAGGATGTTTTACACAAAACAAACTCCCACCATCATAGCATTTACAATATACTAAAATCATATTTTCATGTTTTTCACTCTACTCCCACTGTAAGTGCTTCAATAGCAAGAACCACTTTTACTCATTTGTAAAATCCCAGAGCCTGTGTGTGCCTGATAATTGTACAGTAGTCCCCACTTATCTCCCAAGACCGCCCCCCCAACCCCATAGCAGATGCCTAAAGCTGCAGATAGTACTAAACTCTACATATACCATGTTTTTTCCTATACATACACACCCATGAAGTTTAATTTATAACTAAGGCACAGTAAGAGACTGACAGCAATAACTCATGGTAAAATGAACAACTATAACAACATGTTGTAACAAAAGTTAGGTAGCTATAGTCTTCTCTCTCTCAAAATATCATAACATTTTCAGACTGTGGTTCGACTGAGTAACTAAAACCTCAGAAGGTGAAATTGTAGATTGGGGGTAGGGCAGCTATAGACTTAAAAACAAGCAAACAAACAGGTCTATTAACCCACACTAATAACGAGCAGCTTGTATCTTATCAGCATATCATTTGTAGAGTGTAGCTACGGGTATGAAAAGCAAGGGTGGCCTATCCATGCTTGAGCCAAAAAATGAGGTAAAGTGCACCCTATTATCAAGAAACCCCCTCAAAAGGAGATAAATCGCAGGGACAGTTAAGACCCTGTGGTTCAGTTGACTCTACCAGTCAGAGATCTTGAGCCTAAAACTTAGTTTCCAGAATTTCTTTTTAAAAAGGAAGCTGATACTGCCTTAAAGACCTTATCCATAAAACCTACCTCAAAGTCTGGCAACAAAAACCAAATATACATGCAAACACACTTAGTTCTGTGCCTGGCATATAGTGAGCCTTTAGTTGTTAGCTCCCCTGACTTCCTTCCCCCACAACAAACGACAGGCTCAAATCAGGTCTCTGACTCCATTTTCAGTGATCTTTTCACAACACCACAGCCAAGTAAGCATAGTATTAAAATACAGATTCAAGGCCAGGTACAGTCGCTCAAGCCTGTAAACCCAGCATTCTGAGAGGCCGAGGTTGGAGGATTATTTGAGCTCAGGAGTTCAAGACCAGCCTAGGCAACATAGTGAGACTCCCATCTCAAATCAATAAATAAGCAAGCAAGCAAGTCAGGCGTAGTGGCACACACCGGTGGTCCCAACTACTCAGGAAGCTGAGGTGGGAGGATTTCTTGAGTCTGTGAGGTGGAGACTGCAGTGAGCTGTCTTCACACCACTGCACTCCAGGCTAGGTGACAGAGCGAGACTGTCTCAAAAAAAGTAAAATAATAAAATACAGCTCTAAATATTCATATATTGGCAGAAGCCTTTATTTAAACTACTTCTACTGAATGGACACAGTGTAAATACACATGGTTTTTAAATTTTTCAAAGATCTGTTTAGTTTCATAGGTGAAATCCCACTAGTATGAACTTTATCCAGAATACAAAAGCAGCTTTTCCTGTTCAAAACAGATTATACCTTTACTCATTAAAACAAGAGTCCACCTGTATACAGTGAAACCAAAACAACAACGGCTCTTTAATACAAAAGCCAAACCAGAACATGGCAGGAGCCCATCAAAGCTTTAGTAGAACGTAGTGACATCTCACAGATTCACATTTACATAGATTTAACTAAAATTAAGGGCAATTACAGTGTTCACAATCTATTTTATGAATCAAACCAAACTCAGAAACACCCTAAACATCATGCCTTACC